TCAGAGAACGTAGTGTTCTAGAGGGGTAATATGGTACTATGAGCTCTTCAAGATATGAAGGGGCCTGACCATGAAGAGCTTTATAGGTCTACTGTGCTGTATTACACTACAGGCCGGCAGTGAAATTAGAGGGACTGATTTCACCCAAAAAGGGACAGGGCATGTTGCAAGGCCAAAATACCTGGATTGGCTGCACTCATCAATCAGAACCAACTTAGCATTTTGAAATGTTTTATTGATTAACCATTATGTCCTTATTTAACCAGAATCTGTTGTTATTTTTTTCTGCTTATTTGTAATAATTTGCTACTAGCTGCGCTAGTACACTGTGCTTGTGAAAACCATTGACAGTATATGTAATGGACAGAGCTTCCAGGTCTGTGAAGTTACGCCAACACAAGAGTGTTTTAAACCTATTTTTAAGTGTTATGGCTTTAACAAACTGTTGTGGCAACGACCATAATGCCAAACTCGAGGCTTCAGAGCGGTACTGCACAAACTAATGGGTGACGCCATGATAGGTTCACACTTATGTACACGTACACAAACACAGCAGAGGTGGACGAGGGAAAGTGTATGGAGCAGATCGCGTCTCTGCAGGTTTACATGTTTATGCTTATCGAACAGTGTATTGATAAGGTATTGGCTTTTTACCTTTTTAATGCCGGGTTTCTGAATTTCCGGATTTCCCATCCCTACATAATATGATTTTTTGTATGTATCCCATTTCAGGCAGTCTTTTGTAATATGTTCATCGTTCATGTTCGTATTGCAATGCTGTTGAAAATACAATTTATCGGTCAGTCCTACTGGTGACCCTGGCTACCATGCAGTTATTGTCTTCAAACTTCCCATTTTCCTAATAACCATACTACCGAGGTCATTTCAGTTGCATAACCACAGATGGTGCAGGCAAATTTGTCAACACAGTATGATGTAACTGCTCTCTTGGTAAGTCGGTATAAGAAATTTTTGTTTCTTTTTTAAAGAAAAAAAAATGGATGTGGTTGTTGTTTGTGAGCGTTACAATTATTGTGCATATTAATCTAGGCCTAAAATAATGTTTTGGGTGGCTTATAGTGACCTTTTATATACCTTGTTATCGTGCAAACAGTAATAAGCTTAAGCAGTATTGTTAATTTGTATTTTCAGACAATTTTTTTGGGGAAAAAAAGGATGCTCTGATTGATTGGCCAATAATCGCTCTGAATAGTTTGATTGGCTGTAAATGCCAATCAGAACATCCAATCAGATTACGCAGTTATTGTATGCCACAGGAACATTATACTTAGTCTTTCCCACCCATAGATCTGTGCCCGGTATATTAACTCCTGGCGACTCATAGTATTTTGCGGAGAAACCGAGGGAGATGTTATCTAGTAGACACAGTGGATATTTACCAATCACGGATCAGTTAGGGCTTTTATTGCCTTTAATCGACAGTGACAGCTGAAGAGTGATAGGAAAGGGGTGGGAGAGAGGGCATGACACCCAGCAAAGGGTCACAGGTCAGACTCAAAACCATGGTCGCGGCAGCAAGGACTTGGGGCACATGGGGCGCCAGTTCAACAAGGTTAACTATGTGCCCAAACAGTTGAGTTGGGGGGAAGAAAAGCAAATTACAGTAGTTTGTGAAACACTATAGGGTGGAGAATTAAGTAGAATTAAAATGATGAAATAAGAAATTACTTATAGAAATATGCAGGAAACGCTGCTAGTTTAAGATGTGTCTCTAAGAGAGAGAGTAGTAATATGTTGCCTTCCAATAAATAAACAGTTGTCAATTAATGATACTTTAAATTAATCTCCTAATTTTATTTCCTGATATACAATGTTGTTAAGAATAGTTATATAAATAAGGCTTCACATTGAACAGAAGGCTTAAAATAGACCCAGTGATGAGTGAGTGGTATCGGCCAATACTGCTTCCAGCACTCTGGGACTGGCCCAAAAAACACTGATCAGAGCACCAATATTATGAAACAATTAATACATTTACACTTCTATTTTATGTGATTTTATTTAGTAGAAATGATCATGCTAATATCTGATTAATAATGTTTAATATTACATTGCTTCCCTGTACATAGCTTTACACAGATTAAAGCAGAGGAACTGGCAGAGCCATTGGCCCACACAGAATGCTGTTTACACCATTCTTCTATAGCTCAAAAAAAAAGGAAGTAAGCTTGTAAATGCACAGAAGAAAGCACACTACTGACTTGGAATGTACCTCATTTGACACTGTTGATAAAAGCATCAGTAAACAAAATTGTGATAAATTTAAATGTAGTGGTGTGTAATCACCAAAAGGATATTCTTAAGAATGAGGCCTACAGTTTTTTAGGCCTTAGCCGTTATTGTTATTTCTTAGTATTTCCATACATGGAAACAAAATTTGTCCTTTGCATTTGACCCATCTTACACACTAGGAGCAGCAACTAGGGGGCAACTTGGAGGTTACTGTCTTGCTGGGGAATTGAACGGCAAACCCTGTGGTTACTGTTGCTACCCTAGTCAACTAGTCAGTTTTAATTAATTTTTAGGGACCGAGCACTGACC